CTCAGCTTGGACGTTAGCCTCAGCTCGGTGTTAGCTTCAGCTCGGACGTTAGCCTCAGCTCGGACGCTAGCTGCAGCTTGAAAGTTAGTCCCAGTTCGGATGTTAGCCTCAGCTAGTTTTCCATCTGTGAGTAGTCTTTCTTTCTGTAGAATGATGGACTCCACATTGTTCATGTTCAGGTTGCTGTTCAATACACCATATTATATTACATTATTATTGTTTATCGTATATCCTAGATCCTTGTGTACTGTTTATTTTTTATACTTTATATTTTTGCTTTTTTTTTTGTGTAACTGGGACCTTGAATGCACAATTTTGTTCCACATTGTGTACCACATGTGATGCGAATGACACTAAAGAACCTTGAATCTTGAAGATTGTTTGAAAATAACCTTTAACTATTTTCAGATTGGTTGCAGCAAGGGCGTCAGAAGCATACGTAATGTGGGGGGGACACAATGATGTGTATAGGTGTGTGTGTGCGCGTGTGTGCACACATTTAAAAATTGTACAAAAGCAGCAGAGCGTCAGATCGGCACTATTTGTGTTTATAGAGAAATAAAAAACATAACCACTAGACTTTTTTACTTGTGTTCAACACTCATCTCACAAAGCTTGAGGACAATAAGGTGTGGGGTTTTAAAGACATTTCAGCTTTAATGCACATTTTATTTACACAGCATCTCTTACACCTGCAGCGTCTTACAGCGTCACAGTTACTACTAAGCTAAGATGCTACGTAGCGCTCCTCTTAAGCATCCTCCTAACCATGTATATATGTTTATGATCAACCCCCCCGGTCAACAACTGCCCGCACCAAGCTGCTAAGCTGGCGAGTGATCAACACAGAGGTGTCTCCATCTCCTCCACCTGTGCACGTTTTCTGCCGAGGCAGGAGAAGACGCACAGAAACAGTGCAGGCAGCAGGCTGCTGTGTCTAGAGTTGGAGGTAACCAGGAAAACCTGAAGTGGAGTTTTAGTAGCTTGAGTATTATCCTATTAATCAAGTGGAATGGATTTGTTCGCGAAGAAAGAAACTGCACCGACGGAACTAATGTTTCATAATAAAAGTGGGGGGTGTCCAAATGAAAATTTTTTGAATGTGGGGGGGGGGACATGTCCCCATCACATATAATAGTTGCGACGCCCATAGATTGCAGCAACAGTTTCTTCTCATTGCGAGGTCATTGCTGACATATTTCCATCTTGTCATTGTGTTAACACACGCCTGTGAGCCGCAGAACAGCAAACAACCTAAACTAGATTTTGATCATTTTGACCCCTGGACCTCTCAGGCTGGACGTCTGTATTCATGGACAGACTATTCGTGTGTTTCTTCAAACTGACTCAACACTTCCAACAAACCAACTCTCTGACTGTTTCCTGCTCCGAGACATCAGAAAACAATATTTACTGGTGCTTCGGTGGAAGTTCTTGTTGTTGATGATCAGGCAGGTTCCGATGCAAGGGTATTCCATGTTGTAGCGGTGTGGGTCTTTGACGACTGGTTTACTGTCTGAACTGCAGCAGGTGGAGGCCGTTTCCTCCACTTTCTTCACATCACCTGCAGCTGCCAGCCTGAAAACACACAAACATAAAAACACTCGGACTCAGAGACGTCGCAGAAAACCCTGGAGAACTTGTTGAGCAACAACAGCACAGGATCGTTGCGACTGAACCCGTTTCAACAATCTGAAGACAGCGGTCAGGATGGTGATTGGAACTTGTTGATGACCTTTAAAAACATCTTATATGACCTTTACAAAGGTCAGAGGTGGAGCTTTAACAGGATAAAAAATGAGTTCTGTTTGTAGAGTAATAACATGGTCCAAACCACTTGAAGGTGTCCACAGAGTCCTCAGGTCTGCTCTGCTCCTCGGTGGTCCTGGAAACCTCAGCCATGTTCCTGCAGACAGAAATAAATCCTGTTAACATCCATCCATAAAGAGAAGAGAGGAAGGAGGAGTCTCTTCTGGATGTGGGATTTAACAAAACCATTTCAGAGATGCTGCACCAACAGGTCTGTTTCCTCACAACAGAACCACCTGAAGCCCTTTAAAGGTGTTCAGAACCCTTAAGATGTTCATCAGAGCACGAGGCTACTAATACAGTCACTTTTTAAGTCCACTGCAGTCGGCCCACAAACACCTGCATGTGGTGCTGGTTCTGTTTCCAGTCAGATCCAGATTAGATGGACTCATATTTAATGTTTGGGTGCAGTGATTTTATGGTTCATGGTCCTCTTCCTCAAACAGGTTGTTCTATGATCTGATAACTGATCATCTTACCGATTTATTCTGTCTGACAGAAACCTGGTTAAAACAGGAAGATTTAGTTAGTATAAATTAATCCACTCCATCTAATTATTTAAATTTTCATGTTCCTAGAACAACCGGCCGAGGCAGAGGTTTCTATTTTTCAATCAGGATTATTGATTAATATTAAACCAATTGTTAGTTATAAGACTTCTGAGTCGCTGTCCCTCAGTCTCTCTCATCCAAAATGGAAATCAGAAAGGCCGCTTTCACTAGCTGTTATACATCGTCCACCAGGCCCTTATACTCACAGGTTTTGTCTGAATTCTCAGATTTTTTTTAATCTAACTTATTATTAAATACTAAGTACTTAAATAATAAGTCATAATAATGGATGATTTCAATATTCATGTAGCTTTTGAAAGTGATAGCTTAAACATAGCCTTTAAAAACTTAATAGAATCAATTGGTTTTACCCAAAACGTCCGAACACCGTCTCACTCTCATCATCACACTCTTGATCTGGTTCTGACGTATGGCACAGAAATTAAGGACTTAGTACATCCACAAAATTCTGTTCTCCCTGACCATTTTTTTAATAACTTTTGAGTTTACATTAAATGACTACACAGCCCCCCTCCCTGGGCTACCACCTTACCGTGGTGGAGGGGTTTGAGTGTCCCAATGATTCTAGGAGCTATGCTGTCAGGGGCTTTATGCCCCTAGTAGGGTCACCCATGGCAGACAGGTCCTAGGTGAGGGACCAGACAAAGTGCAGCCCAAAGACCCCAAATGATGAGAAACACAAATGGACCTAGTAGTCCCTTGCCCAGACGTGGGTCACCGGGGCCCCACTCTGGAGCCAGGCCTGGAGGTGGGGCACGCGGGCGAGCGCCTGGTGGCCGGGCTTTTACCCATGGAGCTCGGCCGGGCACAGCCCGAAGAGGAGACGTAGGTCCCCCTTCCCATGGGCTCACCACCTGTGGGAGGGGCCAAAGGGGTCGGGTGCAATGTGGGATGGGTGGTGGCCGAGGGCGGGGACCCTGGCGGTCTGATCCTCGACTACAGAAGCTGGCTATTGGGACGTGGAAAGTCACCTCACTGGTGGGGAAGGAGCCTGAGCTGATGATCGACTTTGTCATCGTCTCATCTGATCTGCGGCCACATGTCTTGGACAGTCAGGTGAAGAGAGGGGCGGAGCTGTCAACTGATCACTACCTGGTAATGAGTTGGCTCCGATGGTGGGGGAGGATGCCGGTCAGACCTGGCAGACCCAAACGTATTGTGAGGGTTTGCTGGGAACGTCTGGCAGAGTCTCCTGTGAGACGGAGTTTCAACTCCCACCTCCGGGAGAACTTTGAACATGTTCCGAGGGAGGTGGGGGACATTGAGTCTGAGTGGACCATGTTCCGTGCCTCTATTGTCGAGGCGGCTTATCAGAGCTGTGGCCGCAAGGTTGTCGGTGCCTGTCGCGGCGGCAACCCTCGAACCCGATGGTGGACACCGTCGGTGAGGGATGCTGTCAGGCTGAAGAAGGAGTCCTATCGGGCCTTTTTGGCCTGTGGGACCCCGGAAGCAGCTAATGGGTACCGGCAGTCCAAGCGACATGCGGCTCGGGTGGTTGCTGAGGCAAAAACTCGGGCATGGGAGGAGTTCGGAGAGGCCATGGAGAACGACTTCCGCACGGCTTCGAGACGATTCTGGTCCACCATCCAGCGTCTCAGGGGGGGGAAAGCGGTACGCCACCAACACTGTTTATAGTGGGAGTGGTGTGCTGCTGACCTCAACTCGGGATGTTGTGGGTCGGTGGGCGGAATACTTTGAAGACCTCCTCAATCCCACCCAGCCTGGGGACTCTGGGTCGGGCCCTCCAATCTCTGGTGCTGAGGTCACCGAGGTGGTTAAAAAGCTCTTCGGTGGCAGGGCCCCAGGGGTGGATGAGATCCGCCCAGAGTTCCTTAAGGCTCTGGATGTTGTAGGGTTGTGTTGGCTTACGCGACTCTGCAATATTGCGTGGACATCGGGGGAAGTTTCCCTGGATTGGAAGACCGGGGTGGTGGTCCCCCTATTCAAAAAGGGGGACCATAGAGTGTGTTCCAACTACAGGGGAATCACGCTCTTAAGCCTCCCTGGTAAGGTCTATTCGGGGGTTCTGGAGAGGAGGGTCCGTCGGATAGTCGAACCTCGGATTCAGGAGGAACAGTGCGGTTTTCGTCCTGGCCGTGGAACACTGGACCAGCTCTACACTCTCAGCAGGGTCCTGGAGGGTGCGTGGGAGTTTGCCCAACCAGTCTACATGTGCTTTGTGGACTTGGAGAA